AAAAAAAAAAAAAAAAAAAAAAGTTTCTGACCAGTCATGAGAAAATATTAAAAGAATTTTTACTAGGTACCAGGCGAGGAGCTGTTCAACAAGTCCTGTAGCTCTTTCTTGTTAAAGGTTAAAATGGGAATGACAGGGGAAAAGGAAGAAAAAAGTGAAGAAAGCCTTTCCTTCCCCTGGGTTGATGTCCATGAAGGTTTCTTGTTAATCTAATCTTTTTCTCTCTCTTTCTCTCTCTTCACCCACTCCAAGCACTGGGGATTGGCGACTGAACCCAGAGCCCCACACTTGCTAGGCAAGCACTCCACCTCTAAGCTACACCCCTGGCCCCTTTTTATTTCATTTTATTTTATTATTTTGAGACAGGGTCTTGCTAAGTTGCCCAGTGTTGCCCAGTGTGGCTTTGAACATACAGTACTGTTCGGCCTCCAGGATTACAGCCAGGCATGTGCCATACACCTGGGTGTTCATTTGTTTGTCTGTTTGTTTGTTTGTTTGTGGGGAACTCGGGTCCTCACACATGCTCGGCAAGGGCTCCACCACTGAACTACACACACACCCGGTACAGTGACAATTTTTTGAGAGCTTCCCAGACACGAGGTACGGGAACAAATATCTCACTGGATCCTCATGAAAACCCAAGGAGAAGGTGCCCTCACATTACAGCTACGGAAGCCAGGTAGGGGTGGGGGTGCAGCTTGTTTCTAGCCAAAGGCCCGGGAAACCAAGTACTGCCCCAGAGCCCCTGCCCCCTGAACTTCACTAGCTGCCTCCTCCTCTTCCTCCCTTGCCTGGGCGATGCTTTCTGGCCAAGGTCCTGCCCTGCTGACAAGCCCCATGGCCTCAGGCCAGAGACGCCACCTCTTCCAGCCTCCTTCGGCTCCGGGAAGCAGGAACACAAGCGGTTGTGAGGATGGGATCCTGGGAAATGTGTGGTGCAGTATTAGCAGCTGTTATGATTCTTTTTCCTTTCTTTCTTTTTTGGTGCTGAGGATGAAACCCAGGGCCTCACACACGGGAGGCAGTGCTCTACCACTGAGCCTCCTGCTGGGGGTTTTATTGTTTTGAGGAGAGTTTTGTTTTGCTTTGCTTTGGATTTGGTTGGTTGTTGAGGCAGGGTCTCACGGAGTTGCCTGGGCTGGCCTTGGATTTGTGATCCTCCTTCCCTGGGCCTCCGAAGGAGCTAGGCGGACGGGTGTGAAGCCTCCAGAACTGGCTGCTGTGATTATTGTTATCATTACTCCTCCTCCGACACCGAGTTCCCATCACAGGCTGAATTCTAACCCCCAAAAGGGTACGTTGAAGGCTTCACTCCCAGTACTTACGAATGTGACCTTTTTTGGAAACGGGGGTTTTACAGCTATGACGTTAAGATTAGGTCATTCATGAGCCCTAAACCCAATCACTGACGTCCTTATACAAACAGATACAGAGACACAGGCGGAGCGGGGACACACCAAGCCAGGTCGGAGGCCAAGACTGGGGTGACTCAGCTTTGAGCCAAGGCACGATCGCTGGCAACCACTCGCAGCCACGAGAGAGGCGTGGATCATTGTGTCCCTCAGAGCTGTCACAAGGAATCGAGCTCAGGGCCTTCACACTGAGCTGCATCCCCAGACTTCCAGACTCCAGGACTGGGAGAGAGCACACTTCTGCCATAAAAGCCTCAGCTTGTTGGGCAGTTGGTCCCTGACATAACGTGGTTCCAAAGCTGCACACAGTAGAAACCGCACTTTGAACGTTGAGTGTCATCTTCTCCCAGGCCAGCCCCGAGCCATAACGGTGAAGAGCCGAGAGCCCAACGTGTGTGTACTGCGAAGTTAGGGTGTTCGGCAGGTTAGATATATTAAATGCATTTTCGATTTGAGCCTTTCCAAGTTCTGGAGGATTTATGGGGATGTGACTCCCTCGTGCGTTGAGGGCCATCTGTAGTTTGCTACAGCAGCCTGGCGGACTAATACACAAGCTGAGCCCAGACCTTCAGACTCTTGTGCACACAAACGTGAGGGTCCTTCAAGGACAGCCCTGCGAGCACACTTCTCTCAGTTCTGTCTTCAAACACCCACTCTGCTCCCAGGCCAGACCCTGCAGGACCCCTGACCACCTGCAGCAGCCTGCTCCAAACTCGCCTGAGAGCAAGCATCACCAGGATGCGCCTGAAAATTACCACACACCAGGCCCTGGGAAAGGGGCCCCAGAAGGGACGCCTGGAACCTACCAAGCCCATTCCCCTCAGAAATGTCAGGGCCAGGGGACAGGAAGGGGCCGGAGGTCTTGCTCAGTGAGCTCCCCGTCATGCTGCCTCCTCCCATGCCAGTGCTGTCTCCCAAGGCTTCCCAGCAGCCCTGTCACCGTCTCCTCTTTCAGCTGCTCGTCCTCTATGAGCGCCTTTACTGATCTTGCCGTCTTCCTGCCTGAGTGGTTTCTCCCATCTTCATTTCTCCCATCTAGACTTTAATGTTATTTTTTTTCTTTTTCCCAGTACCGTGGATTAAACCCAAGGCCTTTGCACTGAGCTACATCCACTGCTTTTTTGGAGACAGGATCTCCCTGTGTAGTCCAGACTGGCTTTGAACTCTATGCCATCCTCCTGCCTCAGCCTCCCTCAGTGCTGGGATTACAGATGTGTGCCACCACACCCCAAGTACACCATTTCTAATTATTCTAAAATAGCTTCTCCCCGGCCTGAGAAGAAAATCCAAATTCCCAGCATGGTCTGCAAGTCAACCGTGACTTAGCCACCCTCAGTCTCATTCTAAACTATCCTTTTCCTTCCCTCAAAGCTCCAGGCCTGGGCTTTCTTTTTCTTTTGTGCCTTACTACTGAGTTTTTGGAGTGTTGGGGATCATGAAATGCAGGGCTTCATGCAAGGTAGGAAAGTGCTGTACCACTGATCCACAACCCCAGGGCTTTCTTTGAATCTTCAGACACACCAAGAGTCTCCCTGCCTTGAGTCTCCTTAGCACAAGTTCTCTCTACCTGGAAAGGCATACACCCAGAACCAACAGTTTATAGCTTATCTTTTCTTTAATTTAATTTAATTTAATTTTTGTGGTACTACGCATCGAACCCAGGGCTTCACACTGGGCTATGTACCCAGCTCTTTTTTATTTTTTATTTTGAGACAGGAGTCACTAAGTTGCCCAAGCTCAGCTCGAACTTTTGACCCTCCTGCCTCAGCCTCCTGAGTCTCTGTAGTCCTCGTGAGCTCCTCAGAGCTTTTCCTGCAGTCCCACCTAAGACCACACACACACACACACACACACACACGCACGGCATATTCATCCCATCACTGGACCACACTGGATCCCTTGCTAAGATTTATAAACCAGAAGTTATGCATGAGGGAGTCCGGCCTCTCTCCCAGACAGGGAAGGCCGCCTGGGAAGCTCCCGCCAAACAGCCACCAAACTGGTCCTCTGCAGTCCCCACCTAGCCCCTTGTAGCTTCTGCGCCCACCCAAGTCACCTGTGTCTCTTGTGCGAACAGTCGATTGGCCAGGGAGACCCCGCGTCTGGCCTGTGCGCGGCACACAGCTAGACCTCAGTAAGTAGGCGGGGACGAAATGAACCACAGACTCTCTGCCCTCTAATCACGCCCTGCCTTGCAAGGCTCATTACTTCGCTGCCGGGAGTGCCTGCCCCCTCCGCACATCTCGTTAAAGCACAGATTCGATTCTCTCCGCCCCCGGTTTGAAACATTCTAGGCGTTTCGGGGCGTGAACCGCGCACCCCAGCCTTTGAGCCCTGTGGGATCTGCTCCCTGCGCCCAGCTCCCCGCCCTCCAGCCCAGTGCACCTCGCCGCAGCCCCGGTTCCTGACGTGGACCCGCCCCGCCCCCCAGGACTCCTACTCATTCCTGCCCTGCACCCCGCAGCCCTCTTGCCCGGGAAACACGCCAGGCCCCTCTCCTGCTGACTTAGTCATTCTCTCCTCTGCTCCCACTCTGCTCCTTCTCGCACCGGCCTCAGCTCTGAGTAAGGGCTTAAAATAGCAGCCGGTGTCTTCCCTGCTATCCCTCGAGAGTGCCAGGCACGGAGCGCGCGTTATCTCCTTAATCTCACACCCGTCCTGAGCTCCCAAGGCTCCCCTCCCCCGAGCCTGGGGAGAGGCCATTCCACCGCCCTCCCGTTTCATTTTACTTATTATTGATGTGCGAATTTATGTAGAGACTACAGCTTATCATGCTGCCCAGGCTAGCTTGGAACTCCTGGGCTCAAGTGATCCTCCTGCCTCAGCCTCCCAAGTAACCCAGACTACAGGCCAACCTCACCCAGGCCCAGCTTCCTGCCACATGGCAGGATATTTTTCAATTTTCTTTCTCCCTGCACTCCTTACCCTGGGCCTTCTCAACCCCATTCTGTGCTTTATTTTCTCCATGGCTCTTATCACTCCAACAGCATATATTTTAATTAAGGTACTTGTGTTGTGTCTCTGTCCCCTGGAATGTCAGCTCTAAGAGGGCAGGGACTTTTGTCCTGACTTTTTTTTTTTTTTTTTTACTATTGTTTGCTTAACTGCCAGGCGCTTGATAAATAACCACGGACGGTAGATATTATTATCTCATCTCATCCCTGAGCACAGATTAAGATATTAAGGGTTGGTTCTGCAGCTGGCGGCTGGCGGTAGAGACAGATGTGGCTCTGGATGGTCAGCTGGAATGCCACCCCCTGACAGACTCTGTGCCACCGGCTTCAGGGCACAGTCCGTAGTTCTCTCTCCAGGGTCTGACTTAGCCTGCCTGGGGGTTCCTTGGGGGAAGACTCGTCTGTCCTTGTTTGCCACTGCGGTCTGAACCTTGGGAAGTGACCACGGCTGACCCACTGAATCAGCGGCCTGTGAAGGGCCTGGCTGCATCATTCTCTATCGTTGGCCTCTTTTCCCTCCATGCCAGGCATAACTTAGGGCTTAACAAATACCTGATACACTAATGAATTCTATTACAGCAGCAGGTAATAAAAATAGCTAGATGACAGTGATGGGTGACATTTATGGAGGCCTCGAGCTCTGTGCTCAGCCCTCACCTAAATCCTGGGTACGTGAGTTAAGATGATTGGTTCTTTTATTGTCTTCGCTTTACAGAGGAGGAAACAGGCGCTGAGAAGTTAATGACTTGACCAAGGTCACACGGCTAGGAAATGGCAGAGGCAGGACTGGGCTGTAGTCTTCCAGCCTATGTCTTGCTCCTGACCACCTCTCTGGGCTGCCCTTCAGCCTTGGAGAGAATGGTCTATTAAATAATTGCAGTGTGACAGCAAAAAGAAACTTTTTTTTTTCTTTTTTTACATATTCCCATTTTGTTTCCAGGGATTTCTTTCAAAGGCTTTGGGAGGCAGTGTTATTTGCTAAATAGTCATCACTAATATTTGTACTGCCCTTGATGTTTGCAAAGCAGCTTCACAGTTTCTCTCGCAAGCCTGCCAAAACCTGAGGAGGAGGCAGGTACTGACAGCCGACTCCTTTCACTGAGGAGGAGAGGAAAACTCTGAGGCTCTGGGTGGTGGAGGAAACAGGGTCAAGGTCACCAGCGAGCAAGGAGCAGCGCGGGGACCTGCATGGACATCTACCAGCCTAAAAACCAAGTAAGTCTGGCAGCAGTGATACACAGTTGTGACCCAGCTACTGAGGGAGGGGAGGCTGAGGCAGGATTACTATGAGTGTGAGGTGACCCCTAGTTCCATCCCCAGTACTGAAAGAATTCCAAAGATAACGCACAAGATCCAATGCTCCCAGATATAAAAGCTTCCAGCCATTTAAAATTAGTTAATCCATGGAAAAGCACTTAGCACAGTTCTTGGCACTGGTACGTAGGTCTCTTAGAAATGTTAATGATCATCATCTTCATCAGCTCCTCCTGGGAACGGCAGTGTCTTGGCTGAGGACCGCAGCCTGTCCATGGACTCTGATGGAAAGATAATTCTTTTCATTCCAGTTCATCCCCGGTAATGTTGAAATAATGATCGATCCCTGTTATCCCTGGAGAGCCATACACTCGCTGTTAGAGCTGGAAGGGGGTGTGATGATCTCATCTGCTGCCTGCATGTACAGATGGAGAAATGGAGTCTCAGAGAGGGAAAAGGTCAGAAAGCAAACCAGGCGCAAGACCAAGCCACAGGTACAGTGCCCGGCCCGTGCTGCCCTGCCATGAAGATGGGCATCTAGCTTCTTAAAGGCTGCAGGAAATAAGCCATTTGTTTGCCTAGCTGCAAACACACCACCCCGGCCCCACACACAAACAAGTAAAGTATTATAAGCTATTAACCAGAAAACAGATCATGTGACTTAATTCCACCTCTGCTAAAGGGCTTAACATGCTTTGGTGACTAGCCCAACATTCATAAATACACTCTTCAGCTCTTTTTCAAAAAATTATTAACCAGCTCCATCAAAACTGGAACTTGAGCAGTCAAGGAGAAAAAGAGCTGGCGAGAGAAATTCCTCGAAAAAAAATTTCCCCACATTCTATATGACTTCTTGTCCCTTCTCCTCCCACCCTCAGGAGTTGGAGGAAGAAAGAAAGATGTATCATTCTACAAAATGTGAATTTAACAAACTAATTATGGAAAATTACAAACTCCAACTCACAAGATAGATCTCAAAGGAACATAACAGGGTGTTTGCAGAACTCAAAGGGTTAGACAGCAGATAAAGCAGATGCACTCCCTCACTAACTTCTCTTGCGGGGGTGGAGTTGGGTCTGAGAGGCTCCGAAGTGTATGGGTGTGGTTCTCTATCCGGGCCCATTCTGGACTAATGATTTAGGACACCTGTCATTTACGGAGTTGTGTCAGATAGTCACCTTACTTATTTCTCTAGCCCCACCGAGCATTGATTCTCCCAGGTGTGAGACTAGCTTCTCATTCCATATGTAGGTCTTGACCAGCTTTAGCTGAGGATTTGGGGGAGGGGAGGGGAGGGAGGATGGCAGCAATGAGATTAGAGTTAGTCTTCAAATCGGAGGCACAGCAATAGAAATCCTCTCCGTGCTGTTTCTCTGGGCCTTTGTGCTTCTTGAGAGAGGGTGAAATCGAGGCCCAGAGACCAAATGTACAGCCGGCTCTAACACCTCCCAGAATGAAAGTGTTCCCCTCCTCCGCGACAGTTTTATCAGTTCAAACTAGTTTCCAACATTCTTTCCTCACACAACCCAGGCACACGAGTGTCACAGGCTTCAGAGTAAATTCCACTGAGGAGACCCAGGAAGCTCTGGCCTGGCTTTCCTCTCCAGGAAAGGAAAGTCCAAGGAGAGAGATGCCACACCCAGGGTGGGAGAGGGAGGATGTGACGACATCTCTAGGAATGCAGGGCCCACGCAGGTGTGTTGGCATCCACGAACTTCCTGCTTGAAAGTCCTGATAAATCAGCTCTGATAACAGTAACAAAGCTCAATCACTCCACACTCGCAGAGCTGGGCCCCTACTTCCAGGGCATGGCCTTGCCAACTCTCCAGAGAGGGGGTGAAAGCCGAGACCGGGGGTGTCCCCGAAGCTTGTACTACGTTTTCTCCTGTAGCAGTCATCACGGTGTGGTCCAAGGATCTGTAAAGTGTCCTGGGAACTTTATAGGGGATTTTTCAAGGCCAAACTCTTTCTCACGACGTTAAGATGTCATTTCTCGTTACCTTGTCTCAAAAGGGTACAGAGTTCTCCAGAAGGGATTTGACTTGATTACTTTGATGATTATTGGAATGCAATGCTTGTATATTTGTGTTTCAAACAAATTTCAGTTTTAATTCTAGTAAATATTAATCAATAGGACAAAAAAATGCCTCAGAGTCTTCCATAATTTGTAAGAGTGTAAAAGGGTTGAGAACGGCTGTGTGAATCCCAACAGTGAAGGGTTTCAGGCCTGTCGCGACCCCATGACACCGCTACAGAAAATTTCCAGCTGAGCTTGAGTCACCCAGGTGCTTTGTAACAGGGATGGGGAAAGCAGTCATTATTCAGCCAGGGATGGTATCCTCTCCACCCCAAAAATTGTCAGAAAAACTTAAAAATCGCCCACAGATTTGGTGGACTGAATCCTCCCAGGAGGAAGGATGGGCTTTTCACCTCTGACCGAACCCAGAGAGCAAAGGTAGCCTGGGGGAGCCACACCCTCCGCTCCAGCACCCACAGACACATCAGAGAGCCTGCCCGGAGATGGGCTGTTTGGGCAAAGCAGAAATGGCTCCAGCCTTTGGGGGGCTTTCATTCGCGGTGGAAGGGGATTACTCCCAACCTAACGTGCAAGAAGAAAAGTGAGAAAACCAACTTGTCAGAGCTTGGAGTAGAGACGCCAAGGGTGAGGAGGATGTGCGGCAGGACCGCAGATGAGAGGAGGTAGGGCTCCTCTTGGCCCTTTCGGATTAGGATCTCCTTCCTCCAGCCCTCAGCCCGCGCCCGCCCCTCCCTGCCACCCCCATCCCCCCAGGTCTGCACAGCTCTCCGAGCAGCGGCGGTCCCGAGGGGCGGGGCACCTGGTCGGTCTGTCTGTTCCAGTCACAATCACACCTCTCGCCTCCCCGGGGTCCCTGCTAAACAGAGTCCTTGCCAGAGCCTGGGGCGGTTAGAGATTGGGGTTTGGTGTTATGTTACCCCGGGACTCTGCTCGGTCTCTCGGGAAACGAAAACAACGCTGCAGCCAGCGACTGTGGAAACAGCAAGCCACTAAAAATGGCTGGAGAGGAGAAAGGCTTGAGGGGTAAAAAAACCGGAGAAAGAGCCCGGAAAGGCCAGTCTAGCGGTCCTCAGGGACCTGCACCTGCGCCCTGCCACCTCGGGCCGCAGCCCGCTTGATCCCCTACGGCGCCCACTCGACCCTGGGGACTGCTGGATTTGGGGCGGGCTGCGGGGGGACTAGGGATGGAGTCTCTTTAGACAAAACCGGGACACGAGAGGGCCGAAGTCCTTCCCCAGTTACTGTTGCCGAGGCGGGAAAACTTTGAATTGTGCACGATGCAGCCAGACTCCTAAACAACGCAAAAGGGTGGCTGAGGGGCGTCCTAAAGTGGAAGCCGGGCGGGAACCCAGCAAGGTCACGGGGATCGAGCATTCAGTCCCCAAGCCGGGATGGTAAGAACGCCTTAGGAGGCCCGAGCGCTCAACAGAGCGGGTCAACCAGACGCGCAGGCGCGTGCGCAAAAACCCCCAAGCGACCCAGCCCCACTGCAGGTGAGCTCGCGCTTCCGGCCGGCCTCCCTGCACTGCCAGCCCGGGGCGGAAACTGCAGAGTCTACGCATGCGCCTTCTAGCTCTCTCTTAGGGTCGGGAGAGGAGGTCTAGGGCTTCAGGTGATCCCGCCCGTCCCTCGTAGCGCCGGACCAATGGCGCGGCTGTAGGCGGGGTTTAGCGAAGGCACCCCTCCCATGCGCCGCGAGAGACTTGTACTGATTGGTTGGCGCCGCGGGCGCAGGTGCGCGCTTCCTATTGGGTCTGGGCGGAGCGCGAGCGGCGGAGACCGCTTGGAGGCTGCAGGTG